TGCAGGAAATATTCACAGCAGGCAGTGGACCTTGAGAGCTTTCTAGCAAGGGACACCGGGAGCAGCTGCCCCAGCTGAATTCTTGCAGAAAGTGGGACATAGTTTCTCTTTCAGTTTTGCTGTGTGTTGGCCCATCTGGGATTTATAACAACCAAATCCAGGGAAGTTTTTAGAAATCCACAAGTACCATCCTTCAGCTGCCCTGGGGGGGACCCATGCCTGGCTTCTGCTTCTGGCTGTGTGTCCCTGATTGCTGAGAGGCACCCAAGAGTGAAGAGGAAAGATGGAAAGCACGGCTTGGGAGAACAGCCTGACTTTGCAAGGCCTGTTCTCAAACCCACTTGAACAACCTTTTTAGAAAATGCAGAGAAAATGTCAACATGAACCCATCTGGGAAACATCTCAGGCAAAATGAGGAAAACATGGTGGGTGGCTGTAAGCAATGAGAATACAAAGATTGTGACTAAGTCTCATTTCTGTTTCTGACCTTTCCCATCAAGTGGAGCTGGCTCTAAGTAGGCACTGGTAGGAAGCCGATGAGAGCTGAAGCCATTGTTCCCCAATTTATGATTTTTCACTGGAAATTTTCTGAGGAAAGGTGCAGAGATCTGATCCATCACTCATCAGACTGCTTGTGATGTCCAGCCTGCATGTTGTGATGCCCTGGGATCCTGCAGATAAACAGGGGGGGTTTGTACAGTGATGGGGTGAGGCTCTGCGCACCTCCTGTCCCCATTACAATGTAAAAGCAGCAAGGAGGAGTTTGAAGGGAGACAGGGGCATACAGTGCCTTGAGCTTGTCAGTCAGCTTTTATGAAAGAAATAAGGAGGGTCAAAATAACATTTTTTGGATTGAAAGTTGATTGAGCTTGGCAAACCCCATCAAATCTTTATTTTCACCTTGGTAGAGATTTTTCTTATGAGTTAAATTATTCAGGTAGAGCGGCTAAACAGAAAATAACACCTTCAGTGTATGAATAATACAACCCAAAACCTAGGATGGGAGAGATTGTAAATAATCCATCATCTGCTACATTAATTCCTCTAGTTAACAGTAGTATTTAAATGGAGCAATTCATCTGCCTGTACGTCTTTTTCCTGAGTGATCCAATCTATCAATTGAAGCCAGGTGCAGCTCTGGCTCTGCCATTCTCCCAGGAGCTGTCATTTTCCAGCTGTTTGTGGGGGTGCTGCTTTTCCTAAAGACTCCTGGGCCAGCTGCAGCAAATGAAAGAAAGGAATTATGAATGTTGGCTGAAATGTGCCCATGGACAGTGTAAAATCTTTACAAAGTGCTTGGGGATCACAGAATTGTGGAGTTGTTAAGGTTGGAAAAGATCTTCAAGATCCTGGAGTCCAATCTTCTCCCGAATCCCACCATGGTCACCAAACCCCACCACAAAATTCACCCATGAGCCACTCCAGACCCCTCCAGCCCACCAAGGACCTCTGTGGATCTCTGCTTAAAAACTGTGTAACTCAATTCATAAATTCCACAGCTCCTTAATTCTGCAAGTGCAATCGTGACTAATCATCAGGATTTAATCATCTCACCGATTATTAAAACTGGGAGAATATTAAATATAATTTCTTCCCAGTGTTGGCAGGTTGTGTGATTTTTATAGAGACATGTTTGATGTTCAGTGTGTTCCCTACAGAACATAATTTTTTAAAGCAGAGGCACAAGTTTTTTTTTTTAAAGAAAAGCAAGATATATTATAAAAACTGAAAGTAAAAACCAGGTACAACCTGAAGCCTCAAATGATAATGATAGATTTTACAAAACCCCTCAAATTCCTTTATTTTGTATTCCTTCTGTTCTTTTAAAACTCAGTCCCATGGCTGCTGGGGAGGGTGGTTATAGACTTAAATGATAATGATAGATTTTACAAAGACCCTCAAATTCCTTTATTTTGATTTCCCTCTGTCTTTTAAAACGCAGTCCCATGGCTGCTGGGGGGTGGTTACAGACTGGGTGTCGGGAGTGTTCTGGCAGCTCTGCCTTTACTGGTTGTGTTTTATTTTCACCCTTTTTGTGTCAGTACAGGGCTCAGCAATGAGGTGATTTTGCCCTGCCTTGCCCCAGAGCTGTTCTCTATCCAGGTGATTCTAAGGATGGCTGTTTTTATTATAGAAATATTTTAAAATGCAAAACAATCTCTTTTTTTAAAATGATAATTCCTTTTGGAACTGAGGAGAAGAAAACACTGTGTTAATATATGTGTTTGGGGTTTTTAAGATTTTAAACATCTTGTGAAGCAACACCTCAACTTGAGGCCAGTTTGAGCAGATGGCTTCCTTAGAACAGTTGCCTTTAGTGATCAGAGCAAGTAATAAATGTCCAGAACTTGTTGTGCTGTGTCTGGCAGCAGGAGATTCCACGTGTGCAGCAGCAGTGGCAGCAGCCTTGGGGAGCTGTTCTCTTCTCCACAGGCTCCTCTGCATTCTCAGGGTTTCCTCTCCCCCCTGGGTGTCCTCCCTGTCCCCCCAGATGTTGTCCCCACAAAGATCCCCCCATTCCCTCAGATCCTTGGTGTGTGTGGAGTCTATGGTGGCATTCAGGATTCCTGTCCTGGAGCCAGTGCCTGATCCTTGCTGTGTTTCCTGCAGCTGTGGGGGATTGGGAGAGCTCAAATGGGGATGTGTGAACCCCAGGGAGCTGCTGAGGCTCTAGTTCCACAGAAATGCTGCTTCTCACTCAGACTAGGAGCTGCCAGAGGAAGCTGAAGTGATAAAGCAACTTGTCTGTGACTCACTGGATGGAAAACCACTTTCTCTGAGAAGATGGTGTGTGATGGCGTTCACAGGGGTCCCAGGATGAGGAAGAGACGAGGATCTGACTCCATGTTTCAGAAGGCTGATTTATTATTTTATGATATATATTTACATTAAAACTATACTAAAAGAATAGAAGAAAGGATTTCATCAGAAGGCTGGCTAAGAATAGAATAGCAAAGAATGATAACAAAGGTTTGTGGCTCAGGCTTTGTGTCTGAGCCAGCTGACTGTGACTGGCCATTAATTACAAACATCCAACATGGGCCAATCACAGATGCACCTGTTGCATTCCACAGCAGCAGATAATCAATGTTTACACTTTGTTCCTGCGGCCTCTCAAATTCTCAGGGGGAAAAGTCCTAAGGAAAGGATTTTTCATAAAAGATGTCTGCGACAATGGTGGATCCTCTCCCTGACATGGTGTAAACAGCCCTGTTTTGCTGGAAAAGTCTCATTTTGAGATATAAACTCAAGCCCCTGCTGTTTCCAGCCACCAGAGGTGATCACAGTGTGGGCTGCAAAGACAAGAGCTTGAGTCCTCCAGCCCTTTGGATCATTTTCTATTTTGACCAATATTTTTTGTCTCCCTCAATTTCCATGACAACTCTTAAGTGACAAAAGTACTTTTCATTATGTGGACAGAAATAGATACCCTGCACAGGTTGATGTGCAGTTCCCATCTGCTGCCCCAATGTACCACTCCTGCCTGGGAACAGGGATCCTTTAGTGCTGGGCTAAGTTGCTTGGAAAAATTCACTACAGGGGTATTGAAAAGCAATTAATATTCACAGAAAGATTACTGATCTAGAGACCTTTCACTCCTCTGGCTTTTAAATAGAAGCATCTCCCATTCATACCATCACTCCTAATAAATGCTGTTAACATTGTTGACTAATGACAATTTTAGTGTTTATTTATATAATACAGAGGTTTTATTTGCAATTAGAGTTTTCATGATTCTGCAGTATGTTGTTTAGGGAGAGAGAGAGACCATCATTCCTGATTACGTCTGTCATTTAGACAGAAAAAAGCAATTTTTCAGAGTCTTCCTTGTTAACATAAGCCAAGAGACTTCTCGAAGCAGCAGCAGCCAAAGTTCTGAAGTGATATTTTAAGTAAATCACGTCAAAAGTCAACAGTGAGAAGATGTTTTATATAAGCAGTTGCACTGAGAATTCCCCGAATTCAACATTTGCCATTGTGTTCCGCTCAGCCATGAGAGGTGCTCTGAATACATTTCCTGCTGCAGGGCCAAGGGCTTGGCGGGTCAGAACTTGTGCCATCATTCCTGGGGACTTCAGTTTCTCATGTTTGGTGCTCTGGTTTCTGGGTTTTTCACAGAAATCAGGATAGGGAGCTGAATTTGGAGCGAGTCCTTCTGTCGCTGACATTTCTCCTTGTTAGTGCAAATCCACACATGGAAACAGCAGCTGTTGGATCACTCCTGTGCTCACAGTCTCCATGGAATTCTCTGGATCCCTGGGAATTTGGCATGGGGCTGATGCATGGAGAGGCTCCCTGGAACAGAGGCTGGGCAGAGTTAAAGGAACAAAGTGGGGATTTATTAAAAAGCCTCAAAGGATCCACCTTGGGCAGTGCAAGAGCCCAGCCAGGGCTGCACCCAAGATGGACCCAGGATGGACTCAGAGTCAGGAGTTTTCACCCTTTGATGAGTTCTAGTCCATTTCCATGCTGGGTTCAGTGCCCAATCCCAGCTCCAGGGGATGCAGTCCCACCCTCCCAGGTTGCTCTCCTCCATTCCCTGCTGTTTGCACTTTTTGGGGCTGGAGCTGCAGCTGTGTCCTTGGTTCTGGCGCTGGAAAAGGATTGTTCTGTGTGCCTGAGCTGTGAGGAGAACTGCTGACACTTTCTGTGGAGTTCAGAGTTATTTCCCAATGCAGTGCAGAGCCTGGGAAATATGAAAGCTCCAAACAGGAGAGGAGAGTTGTTCCATTTTGGGGTAGTGAACAGGGCATGCTGGTTGGTGCCAAAAACTTTGATGAACCATCCAAGGAGATGGATGGTTCCAAACCATCCAACCATCTTTCCCTTCCCTGGAACCATCCAAGGAGAATGGACAAAATCTGGTCCTGATGGGTTTCTGGCCATGGTGCCAGGCTCCAGCTCCCTGGTGGAGCAAAACACAAGGAGTCATTAGAGTGAGACAAATGGTTCAGAGGCACTCAGAATTGTTCTCCCTGACCTTCCTTGAATTCTTCCAGGCTCTCTCATCCATGGAGGAATTCAGAAACCTGGATCGGGACATCGAGGGCTCTGCGAAACGGTGGAAGAAGTTTGTGGAGTCTGAGTGTCCAGAGAAGGAGAGGTTCCCCCAGGACTGGAAGAACAAGTCAGCCCTGCAGCGCCTGTGCATCCTGCGTGCCCTGCGGCCCGATCGCGTCCCCTGCGCCATCAGGTGGGGCTGGGGCACCCCTGGGGGCAGCAGGAGGAGCTCAGGGGGGTGCTGGGATTTGGGACTGTCAGAGCATTTTTAGCATGGGAATTCTGCAGCGTGGTTTCCTATCAGGGGTCTTGAATGAGCCCAGTGAGGGTGGGAGGCACCAGCACAGGGTGCCCAGAGCAGCTGGGGCTGCCCCTGGATCCCTGGAATGCCAAGGCCAGGTTGGCCAGGGCTTGGGGCAGCCTGGGACAGTGGGAGGTGTCCCTGGGAAAATGGAAGCTGTCCCTGCCCATGGGATGATCCCTAAGGTCCCTTCCAGCCCAAACCATTGTGTGATTCATTGATCTCTGAACTCTGCAAGGCAATCAACACATGGGATTTAAGTGGAATTTCTTGCTTAGTGGGATCCAAGCTCCCTGCCACCACCAGGGATGGAGCAGTGTAAGGAGGGTGTGGGGCAGCCCTGCCAAGTCATAAATTGGCATCACCACTCAGGTGTTACACATCTGCTGCAGTCTGAGCTCAGGAACATACATTTTAGTAACTAGATCAGTTTGAGCTTCTTTAAGACCTCAGAATAGGAGTAGAAGTAAAGAAAAGTCTTATGGAGGTTTTCTCTTTTTTTTCCCCTGTAAAATGCAAAATTTATGTTCTGCTGGTTCTGAAAGTTGTAGTGGTGAATTATGTAGTGAATGTAACTGGGCAAGGCTAAACTTCCTGAAGTCATGCAAAAGCAACCTCCTTGTTCCAGGACAAGCTAAAGGTCTTTCACTCCATGAGGATTTGGTTTTGCCTTCCCTGGCCAATGTTTTGCCATTTCTGGGATGTCTCTCATGTTCCTGTTTCTCCAGTAGTTTATATTCCTGCACCACCTGATGTGCACACAGCAGGGTGTTTTACTCAGTGTATGAATTACATCTGTTTGTGCTTCAAGGTTCACAGAAAAGCACAGATGAGACTGAGGGAAGCTCCCTGTGATCACTCTTATTACTTTTTTTACTAGGATAAATACTGCAGTTTATCATAACACTAATACTAAACTATCTTTTTTTCATTTCTTACTCTTATGGCTGGATTCTCCATGTGTTTCTCAGCTGAAAATATTGGTTTTCCTGTTGTTGTTGAGCTTGAGTAAAATAAGCTCTTGGAATTTTAGGTGCATTTATGCAACTCTAATTAATTTCTTTCTTACTCAGACAGCTCAGAAATAACAGGAATATCAAATTTCATCCCCTTTCCTGTTGCTCTTTTCTGAAAAGGGAATCCAAGTTCAAAAGCTTGGCTGGATATTTTTAGGGCACATCAAGCTTTTCTGTTTGCACAGGAGTATTTAAATGGGTTTTTGTATTGTTTTGTTTTGCTTCTTATCTCAAAGTGCAAACAGTAACAGTTCACTGAGCCTTCCCCAGGACTCTGGGGACTCTTCTTGAAATACAACTCAGTTATCAATATCTCAGTGTGCCAGCATAAAACACCTCACTGGTGACCATGGACATCATGACCAGTCTGTGGGTGCATTTTAGGAGTAATATTGTGCCATGGGGGATTTTAGGTGCCCTGGAATATCCCAAGCTCATTTCCAGCTGCTGTTCAAGAAGCTCTAAGCCCCTTTGTGTCCCATCTCATGTGTCCCTGCTCTGAGATGATGGTGCAGGATTTCTTTGGGATTTAAGATTATCCTAGCCTGTACAGGCTCTGGGAAATTGGGGGTTTCATCCACTCTTCCTAGCAGATACCTGGGCATGTTTGCCCAGTCTGGTTCATTCCCTAGGCCTAAGGAACATCAGGAGAAGCCCCTGACTCACTCCTTAGAGCGTCAGGGCCAGCAGTGCACCAACAGCTGTAATTTCCTGAGAAAGGATTATCCCCTGTAAATCTCTTTTCCCCTTCAATCTTATTGAAGAACATCAGCAAAAAGCTTCTTGTAGCACCTTGTGTTTCTGAGTCCCCAAGGCACTGTTTCAAAAAGCTGAGATGTGAAGTAAAACAAGAATGTTGTGATCTTAAATCTGATGGACTTGGTTAAATTTTGTGACCTGAGCCTTTCCAGCAGCAATTTTGACCCTGAACAGAAAAATCTTCAACCAAATCTTGACCCTGAACAGAAAAATTTCAATTGAATCTTGACCCTGAACAGAAAAATCTTCTTGAAAGAGAGATACCAAAAATGTGGAAGCTTTTTTTTATTTTTTTAATTGCAATCTCTTAGGCATTTCTATTCCAACTGCCTTTCAGCAGTCCTTGAAGGAGGTTCTCAGCTCTCTTAGAAAGAATTTGGCTGCCTTCAAAAGGCCTGAGTAATCCATCTGAGCTGCAGCAGCATTCCTGGGGTTTGAATATAGCATTGGTACCTTTGAATCAGTGCTCAGTGTCTGTGTCTTTGTAAAGCACTGATGTCAGGAGCTCACCCTGGGGGAATCCAGCCAGAACATTCTCCACGCACCGTGCTCTGTTCCAGCAGCTGCTGTGGAGCTGAGCCTTTCCCTGTTCACTCCTTTGAATTTTCCCTTGTCACTCTCATGCTAAGGCTCCATGCTCCAGACATTCTTAGAGCTCTTCCCTTTCAGCTTTGCAGATCAAAGCAATTGTGTAAATCATCTGGACTTTGTGTGGATGGCTGCTTCCTCTGCAAGGCTGCTTGGCTTGCACAACACGTGGCAGGTGCTTGTATCTTGTACCTTAACTCATCTCTTCCCTCCTGAGATTCCTGAGTCAGAGCTTGTATTGTGCTTCTGAATGCAGCTCCCACTGCTCTCCCTTCCTATTCCCTTTGTCTGCCAGGAGCTGCTGTCTCCTGTGGCATCCCAGTCCTGCACAGAGCACCAGGCATTGCTGCTGAGGGACAGCCCAGCCTACAGAGCCTCTCCACAATCATTTCCTGCTCATTTTCCTCATTTCAGTTTCTAAATCATTTGAAGGATCAAAGTGAAAACTAATTGCAGGACAAGACATATGAGGAGAGGCTGAGGGAGCTGGGAAGGGGCTCAGCCTGGAGAAAAGGAGGATCAGAGGGAACTTCTGACTTTGCACAGCTCCTGACAGGAGGGGACAGCCAGGGGGTCAGGCTGTGCTCCAGGGAACAGAGACAGGACCAGAAAAAACAGCCTCAAGTTGCACCAGGAGAGGTTTAGATTGAATATTAGGCAAAACTTTTCCAGTTGAAGGGTTATCAAACCCTGGCAGTGCTCAAAAGGGGATGGGGCACTTGAGGACATGGCTTAATGGTGAACGCAGTGGTGCTTGACAGTGGTCACACTTGATAACCTTGGGAGTCTTCTCAAACCTTAATTCTGAGATTCCATCATAATTAATTGATATTCACAGGGGAATCTGCATTTCCTGAACAAACTGGTTTTTTTTGTGGTTTTTTTTTTCCTCTGGCAGAGATTTTGTAGAAGAAAAACTGGGCAGCAAATATGTGGTGGGGAGATCCCTGGATTTTGCAACGACCTTTGAGGAGTCAGGGCCTGGCACCCCCATGTTTTTTATCCTGTCCCCAGGAGTGGACCCACTGAAGGATGTGGAGAAGCATGGTAAATCAATCCTGTCCCCAGGCACAGCACAGCATTGCTATTTATCTGCTGCATTATTATCTTAGCACGACATGCCTGTTTTGTTTGGGTTTTTTTTCCCTCATCTCTTTGTAGATAATGAAGTAATTTGTTAAAAATAGATAATTGTGAGAGGATGCAATGGGATTTTGCTTTGGTTTTATTGTTTTTCTTAAAGTTTTTTTTTGGATTTTCATCTGAAGTTTAAATTAAACTTGTGTTTTTCCTGCCCTGCCTGGATTCCCAGTGTGGTTCACAGTGCAGGGGTCTCTGAGCTGGGTTTGTGCACAACCTGTAATTTACGTCAGAGATCTCTCTCACGCTGTCAGATGCTTGTTGCCAAGAAAGGTTGAACCAGAGGACCCTTGAGGTCCCTTCCAACCTGCTAATCTGTGATTTTATGGTCACTAAAAATAAGCAACAGCTCCCTGTAACAGATTGCTGCTTTGTGGCAAAGTTTCCAGCTTTCCTGCCATCCTCCCTGAGCTGATTTCCATGTGGATGCTCAGCTGTGGAGCTGTCAGCTGGGTCCAAAGGGCCTTCTGTGAGATGCCTCCCTGGGAAGGCACTGATGCCCCTGTCCCCAATGGCTGCAGCCTCTGCTGTGCTCCAAAGCTGCCCTTGTGTGGAATTTACTCTGGGTCTTGGCTCCACTCTGGAAAAATTCTCATTTTCAGCCTGAATGTCCCTCTGGAGCAGAGGAGTCTGATGCCTTTGGGGCTGAACAGGACAAAACATCATCCAGGCTGGCACAATGACTTGTGCTTTCCTTTTCCTGTCCACAATGCACCCAAAATAATGTTTCAGTGAGCCTTTACCAACATGGCCAGGAGCAGCTGTCAGAGCTGTTAAACTTTGCTCATTCTGGGGAATTCTTGGGCTTAGCTTTGCATTTCAAGTTCTTTCTGCCCCCAAACCAGGTATGATTACTGGAAATTGAAGGGACACCCCCAAAAGAAGCTCCTGTGGTGTCTCTGGCTTCCCTTTGGAGCCACCTTGGTGATTCTGTCTCTCCCTGTTATTTCCTTGTAAGGGAAATGAAGCACTAAAATCAAACCATGAGTGCTTTAATTGGAATTGTAAAGATGAGTGTAGCTGAGCACCTGGGGTTAGCCAGCCAGAAAAGTTACAGCAAGAAACAGCAAAAAGAGAAGGAATTAAATAAAATCACTGCCACAGAGCAGCTGCATTGGCCTTCCAGCTGCCTCACTGGAATTCTGCTTGTTATTAGTATTTCTCTGTCCTTCATTAGGTTTTATTAAAGTACAGGATAATTCCTGTGAATGGAAGTCAGCTTCTTGCAGATGCTGCCCACCCATGGGAGCTTTCCTTGGCATCACAGGGAGGGCTCTGCAGCAAACACTGCTGGGCTGGAAGGGCTTTGTACCCTCCCTGAGTGCCCATCCCCTCCCCTGTGCAGCCAGCAAGGAGGGAGCAGGACTGGCATTGCCAGGGCAGGCTCACTGATACCCCTCTGCAGTGGAAATAATAGTAGTAATAATAATAATAATAATAATAATAATAATAATAATAATAATAATAATAATAATAATAATAGACGCTCATTTATTACTCATCCCCTGGCCTGGGGTGTTGCCCTGGTGTGACAGTGTTCACAGGGGTCTGAGGAGGAGGGAAGAGATGAGGATCTGACTCCAGTTTTCAGAAGGCTGATTTATTATTTTATGATATATATTATATTAAAACTATACTATAAGAACAGAAAAAAGGTTCTCATCAGAAGGCTGGCTAAGAATAGAATCAGAAAGAATGATAACAAAGGTTTGTGGCTCGGGCTCTCTGTCTGAGCCAGCTGACTGTGATTGGCCATTAATTAGAAACAACCACATGAGACCAATCACAGATCCACCTGTTGCATTCCACAGCAGCAGATAATCAATGTTTACATTTTGTTCCTGAGGCCTCTCAGCTTCTCAGGAGGAAAAATCCTAAGGAAAGGATTTTCCATAAAAGATGTGTGTGACACCCTGGCTCTGTGATTCGCCCCATCCCCTCTCCAGGCAGAGGATCTTGAAGACAGAGGAGAAAATCAGCAGCTTTCAAAGCTTGCAGCAGCCAGAGATGGTGAGAAACAGAGCTGGGAACTCTGAGATGTGTGGAGAGCTGTGTCCCAGGGGGAGCTCTGCTGAGGCTCAGCAGAGAGCTGGAGTTTGGAGGTTTGTTCTCCTCATGGCCATCTGTTCCCAGTCCTGCACCACAAGATGGTTCCTAAGCCTTACAAGACAAATCTTTTCTTTGTGTCTCTCTGAAACCTGCTTGCTTTTGGCAGGAATTGGGAATTCAGGGCACACCATCTGCAGGAAAGCAAACCTGCTTGCAGAGATAAGTGTGGGCAATCCCCAGGGATCCCTGTGGGGATGAGTCCTGGCTCCCTGGCTGAGCCAAACCCATCCTGGGGATGTTTGTGGGGCTGTTCCCTCCTGCAGCACACTTTGGGTTTTTCTTCTGAGGTGCACAGAGCAGAGAGAGCTGGGTGTGCTGTGAGAGGAGCAGCAGGACAGACCCAAAACCTGGCCAGGAGATTTGCAGCCATGAGCACAGAAATGATCTGAGCCACTGGGATGCTCCAGAGGGAGCAGGGGAGGCTGAAGGATCATCAGAGACCAGTGAGGGGACAGGAAGGGCAGCAGGGCAGGGAATGACAGGGCTGTGGTGTTCCTGGAGAGGGGAAAATCACAGAGATGGAGCAAATCCCAGTGTCACAGACATCTTTTATGGAAAATCCTTTCCTTAGGATTTTTCCTCCTGAGAAGCTGAGAGGCTGCAGGAACAAAATGCAAACATTGATCATCTGCTGCTGTGGAATGCAACAGGTGCATCGGTGATTGGTCTCATGTGGTTGTTTCAAATTAATGGCCAATCACAGTCAGCTGGCTCAGACACAGAGCCTGAGCCACAAACCTTGTTATCATTTTTTTTTTTCTATTCTTAGCCAGCCTTCTGATGAGAACCTTTCTTCTATTCTTTTAGTATAGTTTTAATATAATATATATAATAAAATAATAAATCAGCCTTCTGAAACATGGAGTCAGATCCTCGTCTCTTCCCTCATCCTCAGACCCCTGTGAACACTGTCACATCCCAGAGCCAGGGCACCACCCCAAGGCAGGGGATGGATGATAAATGAACATCAGTGGTGAGGATGAGTGATAAATGAACATCAGTTGTGATTTCCTCTTCCCAGCACTGCAGAGTGAGCCTGCCCTGGAGGGACACTGGGATCTGTCCCAGACTACCCTTTCCCATGGGCTTTGCTGAGAAACCTGGAGGTTTTCTCTCTGCTCTCCAAGTCCCAGACACCTGGGAGGCCTTGCCTGAAGAAGCTCCCAGGGATTTTGTCCTATTCCAACTGCCCTGTCCAAGCCCAGCTGCTGCACCCAGCCTGAATTGCAGGAGTTTTTCCTCACCCCCTGTTGTTGTTCAAACCTGGCTAATCAGCAGGAAAAGATTTTAATTTCTTATCACTGTAAAACGTGTTTTTACACCAGGTTGCAAGGGAATAATGTTCTTTAAACAAGAACCACTTTGTAATAAGGTACCTCTGTGGATGCTGCACTGTAATTAAAAGAGTTTGGGGGAAGCTGCTGCTGGGTGAGCACTTGGGCAAGGAGTGGGTGAGAGCCAAGGGAGATGATATGAGGAGTGTGACAGCTCCTGTGTGAGGGTTTGGTACCTGAACTCACTCCTTGTTCCCTCCCAGGGAAGAAGCTGGGCTACACCTTCAACCACAGGAACCTGCACAACGTTTCCCTTGGGCAAGGCCAGGAGGTGGTGGCTGAACAAGCTCTGGATGTGGCTGCAAAGGAGGGACACTGGGTCATCCTCCAGGTAAGGGGCTGGGGGCCAGTCCTGCCCTCTCCCAGCTTGGTGTCCCCTCCATAAGGACACAGTGTCACCTGTGTGTCACCAGCAGCCACCTCTGCCTGGGATCAGGCTCTGTCAGGTTGGGTTTCTCCTCCTGGAGCTGTGGTGGGCAATTTGAAGAAATTTGTAGAGAAAATTTGAAGAAATTAGCAAATTTCAGCCTCCCAGGCGGATTAGTCCCTTCACCTACCCAGGGAAGCAAGAGCTGTGTGGTTGTGTAACTTAAATCAGTATTTCCCTGTCGTGGTTTTAGTCCCCTCACAAAAGAACAATTTTAGTGTGTGCGTATCTGGACTGTCTGGGAAGGAAGAGACAACTTGAAGGAACTAAGCAGGGCCTCCCAGGCAGATTTTGTCTCTTCAACTACCCAGGGAAGCAAAGGGGAACACAGCAAAGGCTGTGAGGTTGTGCAACCTAAGTTTGCACCTCCCTGTCATGGTTTTGGTCCTTTCACAAAATGACTGAAAACCTCAGTGCAAAAGGTAAAGCTGAGTTTTATGCTTTGCTTGCTAAATACAATGCCACACCTTCTCCAGGAGGAGATGAATGGGCCAAAGTACAATTTTATTAATGCTGAAATCCCCTCTGTGTTGTTTCTGCACTCTGAGATCAGTTGAGGAATAACCCCACTTGTACTGGTGGATTATGACAAGTGTGCAGTGCAGGAACCTGTTCCACCCTTTCCTGTGCCTTTGTTTGCTCCATGACTGAATGAAGAGCTCTGTCCTGAGAGCCCTGGGCTCTTCCTCTGCCCCTGAACCTCAGAGAGCACAGAGAGACCACTCAGGGAGGGAACTCTGCAGTGGGGCTGGCTCCCCTGGGTGCCATTCACATACTCTGAACGGAGAGAGACAGAATTCCCTCCCAGAACTTCTCCTGGAGAAGGCAGAGAAAAAATTCCTTCACAGGATTTTTCCTAGCAAAGGCAGAGACAAAATTCCCTCTCCCAGGATTTCTCCTGAGAAAGGCAGTGAGAAGCACAGAGGGAAAGGAGAAAACAATTCTTATCTTTACTTGCTGTTCCTGTTGTTTTTGAACATGTGGAATGTGTAATGGAGATTGTTCACTTAGAGAGATTTGTTAAATGGACACTGGTGAGGGTTTTTTTTGACTGATTGGCCAATGGGGTCAAAGCTGCATTGTGATTTTTGGGGACAGTCAAGGCTTTTTCTTTAGAATAATAATAATAATAATAATAATAATAATAATAATAATAATAATAATAATAATAATAATAATAACAATAACTATATTATTATATACTATACTAAAGTATTCATAATAATAAATTATTATATACTATACTAAATAATACTATAATATTAATAATGATAGTATTATTATTAATAATATTATAGTATTATCATAGTATATTATAATATAGTATTAGTGTTATATAGTTTAGCTTAATAAAGTTATATACTTTATTCTGGCTCCTGAATCAGGGGGTCAGATCTCACTATTTCCTACTTTGAGGATGCCCTGCATCAGTACCCCTGAGCATCCCAAACCAGGGAAATGCTGCCAGGTCCCATCACAGCCCCACAAAACCCCTCAGAGCCTCTGGGGTATGGGGGGAGCTCTGTCTCTGTCAGGGGCTCTCTGGAGTCCCTCATTCAGGGAGGGTTTGGTTTTGCTGATGTGCACTCAGTGATGTCAGCTCTCATTACAGGTTTTGGGAACCCCTCTGATTTCCTTGATGTGGATTATATAAACTTCCATTATCACTGAATTGTTTGCATAAAATTAGATTAAGACAAAGATCTGAGCCCTGATCTGAGCCCTCAGGCCTGGTTATGAATTGAAATTAAATAACCTTGATATTTTGATATTTTGATCCTAATTTTTGCCTTTTTTTTTTTTTTTATTTTGCAAGCTCCCTCTGAGGTAAACAATGCTGAGCTCCTCTAGAGCTTTTAATATACAGAGGGCTGCAATCCTGGCATCTGCCTTTGAGGTGGTGCAGATGGAAATGTACAGCCTTTTGAGCCGTTCAGTAATGCAGAGTGAAAAGTTATTTTCTACAGTGCTGGTGTGCTGCTGTAAAGGATCTGTCAGCAGTGCCAGGCCCCATGTGCTGTTTCAGTGCTAACAGACAAGCACTGGGGGCCTGAAGGGTTTTTATTGCATCCATTCCCATCTTCTCTGGTGGTCAGAGCAATCAGTAGGCGGTTAGGCAGACACTGAAGGCTAAATCAGGAGAATTCCTCCCTGGGAGGGTGCCCAGATCAGCTGGGGCTGCCCCTGGGTCCCTGGCAGTGCCCAGGGCCAGGCTGGAGCTGCCTGGGATGGTGAGAGGTGTCCTTGCCATGGAGGGGTGGGATGGGATGGGATGATTGGGTTCTGCCATCACTCAGGGGTGGATCAGAGCAGTATTTGCCATTGGGTTTATCTAGCAAGATCTTTCCTGAGAGGCTTTGGTGACAAATGCCTCACAAATGCCTCACAGCTCCAGGAGTGTTTGTACAAGATCTGGAATGACACAGATGACTCAATTTACGAAAGTGCCACAGGATTTGTGGATCATTGCATTAATAATAAAAGAGAGGCCAGAACAGATCTCAGGGTAATTTCACCCAGATTAATTAAACTCATTATTTGAAGGCTGTATCCCACCCACAGCACAGTTATACCCAGGCTTCCCATTTGTTTTTGAGCAGACAAAAAGCAACTGTTAGCTTTGCTTCTGTATTTTATCATCCCTGACCAACAGCTCAGCTCACATGGAGCTCACACCCACGTTCTCCAGGACAAACATTGAGGGGATCATCTGGGTGGCTTTTGCACATGTGGCTCATTACTGGTCCTTGATTGGGACCAGGCATAAAGAGAGTCACATGCTTGGAGCATTAATGAGCCAGGGAATGAGGTTTGGGAGGTTTTTGTTGGATGACAGGAGCAGGATCACTGCTGTGCTGGGAAGGGCTGTCCTAAGGCCACTTCCTCTCAGTCCTGGTGCCTTCTGACACCACAGGAGGCAAAACAAAGACAAAAACACCCTGGGAAAAGTTCCTCAGCTCACTCTGAAAATGGAGATTTTCATAAATGACTCATTTAATGAGAGAGAACAGCAGAAAGCCTCCCAATCCTTCATTTCCATGGGAAGACAATCCCCCTCACCCAGGCAGAGCCTGGCCAGAGCTCCTGGCCCCTTCAGCACCAGTTGCTCCTGTCTGGTGACTTCAGCTTTGCTGTGCTCTGGTACTGGGTGCTGACAGATGAGTGAAGCCCACAGCTAAAATGATTCTCTACAAATACAAATGGTCCAACTGCAGAATAGGAGCCCCTGAGGCCAAAATGCAGCTCTTTAAAGGAGCTTTTGTTACCTGAGGGCTGCAGGACAGCCCACCTCAAGCCCAGCAGCTGCTCTGCTCCTTCTATTGGTGCTGAAGGGCTGAGCTTGATCTCTGAGCTCCACAAAAACCCATTTATAGCAGGTTCAGCTTTTGTGCCTCCTTAGCAGCACTTCAGAGGTTTGGAGGGCTCGGAAGCCTCTGCATTCCATTGGAGAGTGCAGGCAGAGCTCACTGCCAGCTCCTCTTGGCTCTGGGGGACAGGAACAGCTGGGCCCACAGCTGGAGATGCTCTGTGCAGCCTGGAGAAGAGATGATTCCATCACCATGCATGGTGGGGAGTAAAGACCAGGCTCTCCCATTGGTGTCTGGTGATGGGGACAACCTGGAATTCAGGAAATTCCATTTCAATGTAAATACCATCTTTTTTTTCCCATGTGAATGACCAAACAGGGGATGGAGTTGCCTGTGGAGTTGGTGATGTTTTCATCCCTAGACACATCCAAAAGCTCCTGGGCCTGTTCCTGGGCCACTGCACTCCCTGGCCCTGCTTTGAGGGCTGGGACTGGGGGTGCCAGAGGTGTCTCCAGCCCCAGAGACTCTGAGATCTCTGCATTCCAATGCCTGTCCATGGATCTGATGTCCCTGCTGCCTGCAGGGTCCTCTGTGCATGGAGGAAGGAGCTTTGCCCTCAGCCATGAGTTAGCACCAGCTGTGTCTGCTCTGTTTCCCCCTCAGAAGCCTCTGCTGATCCAGTGACCATCCCAGTCCCAAATGGGGTTGATCAGATTAACAGCAAAGACACAGAGAAATCTGTTTGTGTTTGTTCAGATGCATGTTTGAATGCACTGATGCAGGGAAGAGCTCAGACATTAGATATTCCCAATTTAATTGTAGTCTTCACCCATTAGCCAAAATGTCACTTCCCTCTCTTTGTGATCCAGTTAATTTAATTCTTGAGCATCTTTCCATTTTCCTAGGTTGCTGCTTCACTGAGTCAGGTTCACGGATTAAATTGAATAACAGTGAGCTCCTGGAGCAAAACTGTGTGAGATTCATCACTGTATCAGAAATCACAGAGTCCCAGGACGGGGTGGAAGGACCTCTGGAGATCATCTGGAGAGCCCTCTGCTCCAGCAGGGTCACCTGGTCCAGAGGAGGCTCCAGGATGAGCAGAGGGATGGGGCAGCTCTGCTGGGAGGAAAGGCTGAGAGCATTGGGGTTGTTCAGGTGAGGATTGCTCTGAAGTGAACTGACTGTGGCCTGAAGGGCTCTGAGAGAGCTGGAGATGGACTGTGGGCAAGGGATGGAGGGACAGGACACAGGGAATGAGCTGGAGATGGACTGTGGGCAAGGGATGGAGGGACAGGACACAGGGAATGAGCTAGAGATGGACTTTGAAAAGGAATGGAGGGATAGGACACAGGGAATGGCTTCCCAATGACAGAGAGTGGGTTTAGATGGGATCTTATGAAGGAATTGTTCCCTGGGAGTGTGGGCAGCCCTGGCACGGGTTGTCCCTGGATCCCTGGCAGTGCCCAAGGCCAGGTTGGGCATTGGGGCTGGGAGCACCTGGGGCAGTGGGAGGTGTCCCTGGGGCAGTGGGAGGTGTCCCTGGGGCAGTGGGAGGTGTCCCTGGGGCAGTGGGTGGTGTCTCTGGGACAGTGGAAG